TGCGATTTATCAGCTTAGCAACTACGACAAAACTTGACGACCCCAAAAACTTCTCCTAGTTTTAAACTTATCTTAGAAACTGCATATCTCAAGTATGATTCGAATAGTTAATTAGAAAAATATTTGAAGATTTTGTAAAAATTTTGGTCTTTAATTTTTATTTTCAAGGACAAAACTACGTATATTAATGGCTATGTAATATTAAAATCCAAACTGCATAAAAAGTTATCAGTCCTAATACCTAAACTGAATTAAAAACGGTATATTATTATAATAGTTTCAGTGTATATTTATCAGATATATTTAACAATAAGGCAGTATTGGCTATCAAAAATAAAAATAAAATAAATCGTAAAAATACGGATCCATATTAAAAAGCAATTCTGGAACTAATTCTGAATTTTTGTAAGCACACCTAATGATGACCTTTCGAAGGTCGAAACGTGTAGCGGTACACCTCTGCACAATAAATGGATGGTGATACATTAGAATAGATTTGTCTTTGTTTACGTTCGTATATATCATTTTTGTGTAAACAATCCCATTTGCAATATCACGAAATCCCCTTGCTGCTCTTCTGTGTCTGTCTCCTCTCCAATTCTTTATACTTATGAGGCATATGCAGTCACCTTGTTGTCTGCGTTATCTCCTCCAGACTTTGTTAAAAAATTAATGAGATCATCTTGCTGTCTGCGTGTCGTCATTAGTTTCTTTCGTTTTCTATGCAGTCCGTGTCGTGTCCAATGAAAAGTGGCCGATTACTTTTCTCCAGAACTTTTTTTCTATTCCTTTGCTTACATATACGAAAGTGTATTTACTGCCCATTAATAAATATTTATCGCTCTGATATTAATTCAGATACATTTCATACTTTAAAATGAACTGAACATGAGGGCGGTTAAGCAACCCCGGATACGTGATAATTTTAGTGTCATACATACATACATAAGGTATGGGCCTAACTGCTGGCCATTGCACCGCGACCGTTACTGTTCTATTGCGCAAAATTCTCCATTTGAACCCTTACACAAACCTACAGCAGGTTTCTGCTTACAGGGGCACCATGACAGTCTGGTTCCATGAAACAGCGGCCTGACACTCGTACAGGATGTGTATAGCTGATTCAACGTCTTCTAGGTACGCTTCGCAAATTGCACTGTCTGCCAATCACACTTGGAGACTTCTCCAAAGAATCTGTCCAGGCCCAAAGCTTCTTATGATCTTTCGTAACAAGCTTATTTTTAAGGTGAGGATTTGTTAACCCCACGCCCAACCCCCAGCTGGAGGACCACACCTTGTGAGCTGTCCGCGAATGCATCAAGACGTAGGCGGGTGGACAATATTAAAATGGATCTTAGAGAGATAGAATGGGATGGTATGGTTTGGGTCAATCTGGCTCAGGATAGGGACCAGTGGAGGACTCTTGTGAACAAGGAAATGAACCTTCGGTTTCATAAAGTGCTAGAAATTGCTTGAGTAGCTGCAGAATTGGCGGCCCCTCAAGAAGGGCTCAGCTCCATGCGTGAGTAAATCCCACTTTGAAAACATGTCCTTTTGGGTGACTAGTGTCCCGTAAATATTCCTACCGTCCACCACAGTTGATTTGTTTAATCTTAACAGCTCCTTCGTTCTTCTGGCAGAAGGTCCTTATATGAATCCTTTTGCTTGTTTGAGTGCTGTTACGAATGCGCGATGTTCTGCCCAGTCCCTGACAGCTTTCTTGGCTGAGCTTCCTCAGCGGACATTCGGATCAGGGTGAGCGTGCGTCACTGCGTGTGCGACTTGCGCCTGCAGTCCAGCTCCCTCCAAGTCTACTTCACGTCTCTCCAGATCAGAATAATTTATTTATCCAACCTCTTTCACACTGCACATGGCGCAGAGGAAGGTTTCGGCCTGCTGGTGGGGCACGCCTCGGCCAACGCAGTCGTGACATTAACAATGAAAAGAGGAAAATTAAAAAATGAAAAAGAAAGTCAGAAGAGCAAATTAAAGGCATTAAGTAGCTACACGTCTGTGTCTTCTTCCCGCCTACGGCTTCTCTCCATCGGCACACAAAATCACTTAACATAACCGTCTGGGATGAGATGTGTTTCATATACACACTTCCTGCTGTCTGTCTAGAACAGTGGTTCCCAAATTTTTCGGGCCACTGCCCCCTAAGGTAAGGTAAAACTGTCCCTGTGGCTAACTAATTAAGTACTACGCTATGAAGGGGTGCGGGGCGAGTGAATGTATAAATCCATATTTTATTGACCTCGGTACTAACTGGAGTCGAATGTCCAGCTTCATAAGCCGGCCGCTTTACCCCCGGAGAAAGAGCTCCCTGTACCCATTGGATAGGAGGTTGGGTGAACTACAGAGCCGGTCTGGAAGAGGTGGAGAAAAAGTTTGAGCCTACCGGGACCCGAACTCCGACCTCTGGCTCGTCCAGCCCATAGCCAGTCGCTATACCGACTGAGCTTTCCCGGCTCTTTGGGCTCTTGGTGCCATAAACACATCTGTAATGCCTCCTGCCCTACCCTATAAACAAACATTCTTCAGAATAGCGTTCCGCACAACACGCTAAGGACGATAATAATGTCACGTGGTGCAGTGACTGTAGACGGGTTTTGGATTTATGACCGGATTTATTGGACAGTTTTACATACAAGGTGTGACTACATTTTCATTTCCCTATTATACACATAGTAGTGTCCACAGTCACGTTTTCACTGTTGTTGCTTGGTAGCGGCTTCCAATGGCGGACGTTCCCCTTACTCTTGGTTCCCGAACTGTCTCCGTGCCTCAGCTACCAGCTTCTCACAGCAAAACTCACAACGACTGAACCCCAGCAGTTCTCAAACTACTGACCAATTTGTCCTGCTTATAATATCTCGGCACGGGCCACATAGAAGACACTCTTCCTTTGCTGCTGTTTACAACCGCTGACTAGTAACGGCCGTTTTATAGTTGCTTATTTCCCGGTCGTTGCAAATATCCTTTCCCCCACGTGGAATCAGAAACCACAATCCCAGTGTTGAAGCGGTATCAGACAGTACGCGCCTTATACAGCGCGGCAGATATTATAGGCAAATCTCATGATTTATCGTACAATATTTCTAGCACTGGTTGGGTTCCATCCCAGGAACTACTAGACTCTAGTAGGCTAGTCACTAGGCGACTTTTCGGTATACAGAAGTTCCGGTTTATACAACGAATGTGCAGCGTCTCAATACGAACACCCTGTAGAATAAAATAATATAACAACATGCACACATTGACGTTGCCGATCGCAGTGGTCGCGAGGTCTAAGGCATGACATGTCTTCGCACACTCGAACACTGGGATCGTGGGTTAAATCCCTCTCAAGGCATGGATGTCTGTGTACGTTTATTTTGTGTTTGTGTTGTTCTGTGAGTAGGTATCGGCCTTGCAACGGGCTGATCCCCGTCAAAGGAGTCATACGGGGTGTGTATAAATTAAGAAACGGAAATTGCAGCCAAGGTCCTCAAGGGCTGTAGAGCCATAGATAAACGTTGAAGTTGTAACGACTGCTGATCGCTGGATTGTAACGCCTTGTAGTTCAGGAAGATCTTGACCCTTCGGGGGAACATATCTTCTTTGTTTAATGGTTCGACGCTGAAGATGAAAGCGTTAAGTTTCTCCAAAACGTCCGCTATATCCGAAACTCATTCACGGCAGCGTGAAATTCGTGTTTAATGACGAAAACGAAGCAAACTTAATAACTCAACCAGGATCGATTTTCTTTCGAACGTCTTAAGTTTTATCTGAAACGACGTTTCGAAAATTCGACTGTATCTCCGTCTTCAGGTAGGAAACACAATGCTGGTGCAGAAAATTGATCAGTGCACTAATATACTGTGGCGTAGAGACCCCTTGTTAGGCGGTGACTCTGTAAACAACGACCGTTTCTGGGCAACGGCTCGGTAAACGTGGTCCCGCGGCAACGAATACGTACGCAACAATAGAGATACTTTTGGAAACGGGGTATTATCTACGTGGTCCGTGTCCAGATAATGTAAACAAAGGACGAAGATAGTTGTCAGTTCAGTTCAGTTTGGTATGAGTCTGTGAACACAGGACCTGAGCGCGTGAATACGAAGAATGTCCACTATTAGAAACCGCTGTCAGAGAACGGTTGCTAAAGACACAGCAGGCTGGAAAAAGACTTAGTGGGGGCTGTGGTGATTCGTAAAGTGCGTCGATCAACGATAGCGCTGTAATTACTGGTAGTTCCGAGTCGTGTGTACAAGTGGTCAGTAAATCCATTCACCAATCCAAACCCTGTCTAGTGTCACACCCCTACGCGTGATAATACCTTCATCACGATCCAATTACAATACTTCAATGCTTTTTAAAAAGCTTAAAGTGTTAATATATTTGGGGGCATAGACTTATTCCTAGGCAACGAGTCGGTAAAGACATCCCGCGGCAACAAATTCGCAACAACGGAGGGCATCCGTTGCTAGGCAACGGATGTTTCCTGTGTGGTTCTACCTGAGGCTATATAAGGAGAAACCAACAATATCTGACAGCTCAGTTGGAGGACTAGTGCTGTCAGAAGTCGAGAGTGTCCAGTCGAAGGTAGTGTTCTGAGAAATGTTGTAACAAGTTGCATAAAGGCCCAATAAATTTGACCATGAAATCCAAAACCCGTTTTATAAGTCGCGAAAACCCCTAATATGTGACAATATAATACATTTCATAACATAAGGACATTAGATGAACAACGTACTTGTACAACACACCCGCATGTGCCAGCTTTATGAGGTGACTCTAAAGGCTCTATGCACCTGACGATGGCCAAAAATAGGCCGAAACAGTAGTACATGCAAACGTATGTTCTGTCTATACCAGGATTCTGTCGACTGAGTACTAATGGTAATAAACGTTATCTTACCCATAAAATAATGCTAGAATATAATACTTATAATAATCACAATATTTCAGGTCTTATTCACGTAAGAGATACTCATTCGAACGGTTGCGTTTGTACTTACATGTATCGGGATTCTCGGCTCGAGACCCAGCAAGCTGAAACATAAAAGTGATTTTAGTGTAAAGATTCTCCAATGGAATACGCCTTGGACACAAATATTTATTACAATAAAAATAAAAGAGATTCCTGGTAGGGCAATGTTAATTTAGTAAAACAGACTGGTTAATTATTGTTTCTGACACTGCCACGTATTCGGGGTTACCGCGACTAATAATAATGAGTTCTGGAGTTAATGCTTGGATTTATTGGCACTTCTTTACAATTACAATCACTGCTTCTGCAGGAAGCCTGTCTGACGAATCTCTCAAGAACCTCTGACTGATCTCTGCTACTGCGAATGCACGAATCAATTCCCCTTTTATAACTTTCACGAGGCCCGAATAGAAGTTAGTAAGTCGAACAGTTAACTTTTTCCGTTGTCACGGGAGTGACTTTGTTTAGCGGACTGCTGCCTAGCAACGACTCGTTCATTGCTATTCCTTGAAGCTCGAACGTGGTTACCGAGTCGTTGCTGGGCAATGGACGTCCTCTCCGGATCCACTATTCCGGCTTTCAGCCGTCGTGTCACAATATATTTAAAATATACAGTTCTGGGAAGAACTTTCACTAAATACTGAGTATTTGACACGACACGGACCGCATAGAAAACAGCGCGTCCAAAGTTTTCTGCCGTTACATATGTATTCGTGGCCGTGAGAACGTGTTTACCGAGCCGTCATCCTAACAACATTAAGGGAGACACACAGAGAGCAAGATGACCATAATTTTACTTTTATTCTATTCAAAATAAGTAAGAAACGTACAATTTTTGCTATGCTTAATTGAACACCGTGCCATGAGGGCATAAGTGGCAAGGGCATGTTGCTTCAAGCATTCATAACTTCGGCACTAGGCGGAAGTTAGTGACTGTCTTCAAGCCCCAACAGTTTTACCCTCGGGGTAGGAGCCCCAGCTACGCACTGATTAGAAGGATGAGTGGGCTCCTGAGCCTGTCGACACGGACCCTTCACCAACTGTGATTTTAATTAATTCGTCTGAATAAATGTGTAGTCGCCAATAGAGGATGAAAAACGTGTCCTTCAGGCTTAATACTATTCAATACATGAAATTCTGACGCGAAGGAGAATTTTCTTGTCGAAGTTTGGGAAACGGTAGATCATCATTCAGGAGGCATTCGCTTCGAACGCTGGATGTTAGGGACACTGATTATCCTGCCAGATGATTTTCGTGTTTTTCCTTAGACCCTTGAGATAAATGTTGAGATATTTTAAAATGGACCACTAATGCCTCCCTGCCACATGCCTTCAAATTCATTATGCAGTATCAAAATATTATTCAAAACCACAGTCCCGGTGCAAGTCAGAATAGCTCAGTGTCGGTATAGTGATAAGCTACGGGTTGGACGCCCGTATTGAATTGAAATTCCTGGAAGAGGTAAGAGATTTTTATCTTCTGACAGATTCTGGCACCGATCCAGCCTCCTATCCTATTGGTCCCGCTGGCTCTTTCACCGGGGGTATAGCGGCCAGGCCGTGAAGCTGATAACTCACCTCCATCCAGTGCAGAAGTCAAGAATGGTGGAGCTACACCTCAGCACCCCATATGTCAGCATAACGTGGTGGTTAATTAAGCACAGGGAACATGTTAACTCTTACCTTATCACAATCTGACAAAATGTCGTTAAATAAATTAAAAAAATAATAATTCACTTCATTTTACCATATTCTTGCTATTTAGTATAACAGAGCAGTGTTTTCAGGGTGACTGGTTTACGATTAGTGAGAAAAGATTAGATCACAGAACCCTGAACATCTGTCCTTCAGCCGAAAACGTTTATATATTTCTCATTACTGGAGTTGCCGACCACAGTGGCCGTGCTGTCTAAGGCATGAACCGTCTTCGCCCGGTCGAACACTGGGATCATGATTTCGGATCCCACTCGAGGCATGGATGCCTGTGTGCGTTTATTCTGTTTGTGTTGTCCTGTGTAGGTACCTGTCTTGCGACGGGCTGATCCCCCGTCCAAGGAGTCCTACCGCATGTGCATAGAAAAAGAAACTGAAAAGTGGCCAAGGTCTACAAGGGCTGTAGAGCCATAGGTAGAGTACTGAAGTTACTTAATGCTAAGTGGTTTTGTGACTCAGTTCCTGGGCATACCAGTCCACGAAATGTGAACGCAGAGAATGCAGTTCTCTCCGCCTACAACATTGTACTTACAAACCCTTCAGGATATGACTACATTATACCAAACCCACGCCGCACAGGGTGGTCTTGAGACATTGCTTCCAAGTAACACTGGTTCGAGCCCCTCCAGTGACTCTTACGTGTAAGATATTTACAAGTACATTCCTGGGAAGAAAGAAGCAGGGAATGGAGAAGGGAATAAGAAAGGGAAAGATCTAGAAGTTAAGAAAGGAAAGAGAGAGAATGTAACTTCGAAATAAATGGAATACAAAAGCATCGAGAAGGAAGAAATACGGGGAAACAAGAAGGAAGAGAGTTTGAGAGAGGTAGAGCTGTGTTTTAGAGCTTTCTTCTTCTTTTTCTGTGGTGCGTTACTTTCTTACGCTGTCAGTGCTTCAGACCACGTAGACGCGTCGAATCGTAGAATAGATGAAGAAATGGAAAGGACTGGGAAAGAAGTGATCATGGTCTAACAGAAGTATTAGCTTCGAGGAACTGAGGAAAATCTTGCTTCTGGGATCCTGTGTCATACAGCTGAGCCCATACATAATTAAAACAATGATAATAACAAAGGTCAAGCTATCCCTGTAACAGGCCGTGAAGGCCCATAGGGTTGTGAGACATCGAGGCTCCCACATTTTCTAGACAATCGGCTCACAGATGGCGGTGAGGTTGTCAGCCTTACGCACCGGAATCCCTTTGCTTCCACAGGAAGATTCCTGGTACTCATTTCTGTTAGAGGCTGTATCGATCCCGAGGTCATAGTGCGGTTAGAAGGATTAGGTGAATCGAAAAACAATTACCTCTTCAGCATTCGATCCCGCGTCCTTCCGGCTCGTAGCATAGTGCCCCAACCAACTGCGCTACCACGTGCCTCCAATAATAATAATAATAATAATAATAATATTCATGGAGCTGGGCCGTTCTTCAGAAGCCTCTGGCTGAGCAGCTACTCAAGAATTTCCCAGCATTTTATGAAACCCGAAGGTTTATTAGCGTGTTCACAGGAGCCCTCCACTGGTCTCAGTCCTGAGCCAGATCAATCTACGAGTAGTCTATACAACCCCAAACTGTCTCTCTAAAATCTATTTTAATATTTTCCAACCACCTACGTCTGTGTCTTCCCAGTGCTCTCTTTCCTTCTGGCTTTCTCATCAATATTCTGTATGCATTTTGCTTCTACCCATTCGTGCTACATGCCTTGCCAGTCTCACCCTCCTTGACTTGATTTTCCTAATTACACTTGGCGAAAAGAATGACGATAACAATGATGATGGTGATAATAATAATAATACTAATAATAATAATAATAATAATAATAATAATCTGTAAGGGCTGAACTCGTTAGCCCGTGAAAGATGAAGCCATCTTCTTGGCGTTCCTGGATCACGTCTTTCTATCGGCTGTTAACGAAAACTTGACTGGTAGCTCTTTCTGATTGCATCGTTTGTACGTACTGTGGCATATAGACCCGCTGCTAGTCAAAGACCTCGAAACAAACAAAGAGAAAACAGGCTTTGTTATGCAAGAGTGCTGTAAATACTCCTCTACAACAATAGGGTTATTAGGAATGGTGATATGCAACCCGCTAATAGGCAGTTGCAACATCTGAACAGTGGGTACAAGCTGCCGTTGTAGCATAAGATATGTAAGTTAGGCATGATCTGCTCTCTAAAGCCTGTACTGACAGAGGACTTGTGTGCAGTGCAAAAGAGAGAATTTTCAATTACCTGTTATATGTGCGAAATACACACTTGACGAAAGGCCAAGCGTATTCATAAGAGACAAACACATCTTCTCGTCAGAGAGAATGTTACATAAGGATTACTCACCGCAGGAGTTCAATTGGGAAAAAAATTCCGGTCTTGGCCCTCGAAGGGCCCGGAGTCAAAACGAACTAATTGGCGGTAAACCACCAGTCGTAAAGTAAATTTTACTTTGACTTTGATTGGCAGTTGAGTCTGTGGAAGAACGAGAATGGGTACACCGCTGTACAACAGAGTACAACCGGGACTTGACGTGAGCTGTAGTTACATTGAGACTGTTATAAATCCGTTGCCAGGATACGACTGGGGAAGACTGTGAAGACTTAGTCTGTCCTTGTGGTACAACGGAGTACAACCGGGACTTGACGTGAGCTGTAGTTACAGTGAGACTGTTATAAATCCGTTGCCAGGATACGACTGGGGAAGACTGTGAAGACTTAGCGTGTCCTAGTGATTTGTGAAGTGCGTAGATTAGTGATAGCGCTATAACTGATTGTAATTAATAGATATTGTAACAGAAGACGTTAATAAATCCGAACATCCAATCCAGAACCTGTTATTGTTAGTCACAAGACCCAGGATACATGCAAATTTAATAAAATATAGATATTTTCTTTTTAATAAGGACTGATTAATATGTACGTTACCATTTTAAGCCGGTCGTGCTTTATTAGTTAAGAACAAACCAAACTTTGCCTCAAGATGGTCATATAGATCAAAACAAGTAGTGGTATATGTATTAAAACATAATACTGATATTTTTAATGTTAGTTTTATTTACTGATTTATATGTTGAAGGACATGCGAGTGCCTATAATAAAATATGCAAAAACAGGATATAAAAAATAAAACTACTGCACATATAAAGGGGCACGCCGTAGCTTAGTTGGTTGAGATCGTTGGATTTTTCCAATTGACCTAATATTCCCAGCCGCAGTATCGCCCTGGGGTCGACTCAGCCACTAACATAAATGAGTACCAGGAATATTACTGGATTATTCTTAGGGGGAAAGGGCGGCCGGAGCGTAGAGCTGTCAACCTTACCGCCATCTGTGAGCCGATCGCCTAGAAAATGTGGGAAACTC